TCTTTTTACAAGGGCAAAATTTCTGTTTTTTTTTTAAAAATTCCTCTTTTTGAAACTCTGCAATTTATATAAGGGAGTTTTTTTCGTTAAAAATTTGTGAAAATAAAAAAAGGGGACATATAATAAATTCCATTTAAATAAATACACATGACAAATAATCGAATGTAATCGAAAACATCATTTCAAGTCAGTAATGAGGTTGGCAGGTCCTGTTTTGCCTATAGCAGTTCTTATCTCTCTCTTTCACTCTCACTGGTTTGACTAAGGTAAGATCTTTTCAGCTTCCACGAAAAAAACTAACAAGTAACTATGAATTAACTTCATCTAAAAATCAATAAAGAAATAAATTTAAATAGATACCAAGTACTTTTTAATAATGAAGAATATTGTTTATTTGTGATTAAACTCTAGCACTGAATACATCAGATATGAAAATATTAACACTGTTAACACAGTAAACAGTGGCTTTAAATCAATCATTAGTGAAATTATTATTTAATTATCACCTGATTTAATATTTCAAACTGTAATTATTTTTAGTCAGTTGACGAGTTGACTTACCTAAAGATTAATGTTTGTCAACTAAATTGGAGTGGGCAAATCTTCAGACAGCTCTTATTACATTATGTAAATTTTTCTATTTGGATTAAGTTCCTTTTAAATATTTTGCTGTATCTTTGCATCAATTTAATTAATAATTTATTCAAATACATATCTTTTCATGATAAAATATTCAACATAAAATTCCTTCTTAGATGTTTTAAAGGGTATAAAGCTATATCTTGTAAGATATTTTTGTAAGATTTATCAATGGTTTAATAATTGTAATATTGGTTGATTCTGGAAAGAGTTATGATATAGAATGTTCCTTATTATTTAACACATGTGAATATTGTACATAATCTGGATAAAAAGTTATTATGCTGCTATTTTATCCGATGTTGGGTTTTATCCATTAAGCAATGATTTTGTGCATTTTAAGACAATTTACAACCACATTTCTGTCATACTTGTTAGCAATTTGGAAGTACTCCTTTTTAAAATTCAAACAATAATATTTACAGCAGATAAACAAAAACAGTTTTTATTTATAAAAAAAAAAATGAGAGGACCATTTAGTAGATTTAATACAGACCTGTTAACTGTTTCTTGTATTTTAGAACTATTATCTATTATCTGGATTCTTTGTGAGGTAGGCACTACCTAGCTCTATGTAGATGAATATTAAAAATTTTAGCATCAGATAAAAAGACGAAGAAAAAGTAAAGTAAAACTTTTTAAAATGTTTATAACCTCGGGGCCTGTTCTTATTCTACTATTTATAAAAAAAAAATGTCAGGGAATTATCTGCTCCACAGTTCAACTGTTGTTGTTAATGAAGCTGTGAATTTCTTGTTAGCGTTAGTTATCACATTTTATGAATACCGAACTTCTATTCCATTTTGTTTGGGGGCTTCTGTGGCCAGTTGATTAAGTTCATTGGCTTCAAACCATTAAAATGACTTTCATTGCTGTGGGTTCAAATCCCGCCAAGGACTTTGGACTCTCTCATGTGAGGAAGCTTTCCAGGTAGCTTATGGAATGTTGGTCTTCCTCCACCAGTAAAGCTGGAAAGTCTCCATATAACCTATATTGTGTTAGTGCGACTTAAAAACTCAATATAAATTAAAATGAAATATCTTTAACAGAGTTTGTGTTATGTAAAGTCCAATCAAAGACAAATACTTTGTATGATTTGACAGTTTGACAGTCAATTTGGGTAACCAGTGCAATTTTAAGCTGAAAGGTACATGTAGTACCTATTTGTACTATAATGTGTTCAAATATTATGTTTGGGCAATTATTATGATCTCCCCTCTTGAAGCAAGATTCTGGCTAACTTTTAGTAAGAACAAAAATATCTCAGAATCTAGCTTGGACATGTCAAAATATGTCTATATATATATTATATATATCCAGCTATATTTTCATGACATTTTTTTCTGTAACTGTTGTCTGCGAGAGACAAGGTGTAGGAAAAATCTCGTATTTCATCAATACATTCATTCTTGAATTAGAAATACATGCTGCGAGAGTCGTTACGAGTACTTTTATATAATTTTAAAATGTTCTACTGATTACTCGGTTGTACGTAAAATATTTGAATAAAATTATTCTGTGCGCTAGAAAACTCTGGTAATTGATGTGAGCAAAATTATAAATATACATGCTCTAATAGCAGGAGTGGTGTATTATCTTCATTTAATTGTCACTTCATGTGTACAGGAAACAAGAGGGTCAATACTTTATAGAAATGTGATAAAAACGTATAAAAAGATGTTAAAGAAACAGTGATAAAAACATATAAAACGATGTGGAAGAAATTATAACATAGATTCTTGTTTCATTTTCTGCCGTTTGAATTTTAGTGTTTACACGTTGAAAGCATTGATATTAAGTTCACGGATTTTAGAATTTGAATTGATTTGTTGGAATTTTGTTTAGAATACTATAGATATATTTACGCTTAAGGAAATCATAACAACTGTTAAAGATGGATTCTTATCAGAAGAGGTTGAATTTCGCTTTTGGCTATGATACCAGAATGAATCATTCGCAGGATAAAACGGATTGTTCGGTACATTCCGGTTTATTGCAAAGGAGTTATTCTATGTCCTCTTTGTCAAGTAATGTGCCTTCAAATGTTTATTCTCCATCTATGATTGGTCATCCAGTTTACCAGAGAACTGACTTTCCACAATGTGGTAATATATACATTTATTTTTCATTGTATGTGAAAAAGCAGCAATTTGCATGGTTCTGTTGGACCTAATCATTAGTCACTTAAGTTTTTATTGACCAACATATAAAATAAAATATCAATTATTTTTCTTCAAAATTTCGTAAATAGCTAATATTGTTGATAAAGTTTTGAAATGATATGCAATAAGTTTATTGTTTGTTATAATAACGAAAAAATAAGGGTTTCTTTTTTCAGAAAATTTGCAGAAAATGATTATTACTGATGTTTTCCTACTGTACATGTAGTCAAAATATTTTGACATGCCAAAGCTAGATTCTGAGATATTTTTGTTCTGGGTCAGGGGAGATATTGCCCATAAGTTAGCACAATATCTCAACACATATTTTAATTAGTTGGGACTACTGTACATGTACATACATAGAACATATACATGTTAATGATATACATGTATAACAAATGTTTTTGATGTATGTGTATAAACTTTTGCATATTTTAAACTTCATAACTAAAGTAGAATGCATTGTGCTATATATGATTTTTATTTTAATACAAAATAAATTAATTAACCTTATATAATATTATTCGTTAGATATACATGTAGAATAATTATTTGTTTGTTTAGTGAGAAGGAGAAGATTTGAGTGTAATTGAGTTAACATATACATGTATAACTAGTGTAGAGTCATGACAAAAATTTACATTATATTACGTTAGAAAAGGGAAGTTAAATTTACATTTGTATCATCTTGAAGTAAAGTTTGTGTTGTTGTTTTTTTTATTTATTTATTTCAGTATGCTAATATTCAGACTTATTTAACATCTTAAGTCTGAATTGCAGAAAGAATCACCTTAGTTTTTTTGTTGTCCGCACTTTTCAGAATATCTCAATATCTCGGGATTTTGTCACCTCTTTTATTGATTCCTCGCATGATAAAAAAATCTATTTATAGAACATAATATCAGATAATCATTGCCATAGTGAATATGACACCTGTGACTGGCGACAAGATTAAATTACGGAAAACTAGAAAAATCGGAAAAAGGTATTTCCTTTTAAAGCATAAACCTGCTGATTTTATGTAATGGATTTGGCAAGCTAATTGAATTCGGAACAATCCATTTAAAGTTTTAGGGAATATGTTATCAAATTAATACAAAAAAGGCATTTTGAAGTGATGTAGAAAACATTTTTTTTTTTTAAAACTACATTACGCAATGTTAGACTTGAGATAATTTAATTTCTTAAACAGTGCCTTTTTAACTTTCCTTCATTGTCAAAATTTGAATATTGATTAAATTGAGGGAATTTGATGGGTTATTTTTAAGTCCGATCTGTTTTGGAATTAAAGGATTTATTTTGTTGTCCTAATGTTTCTATTATTAAACATACTGTGCAAATTCCTTTCCACATCTGATATACATGTACTAGTTATAGTTTATGAAATATTAATATAGAACCAGCTTATAATAATTACTTTTTACCCTGCTATTGGCAACTAAATCTACCCATGTGACTAGTGCAGACCAAAATTAGGCAGTACATAAAATTTTGTACAGCTAATAATAGCTTTTCAGTCAGTATATATTTTAAAAAGATTCCCTGAAAATGATGGTTTTGATGGACAAGTTCATTTAAGATATTTTGCATTTAAAGGATTAATGTATCATTTAACAGAGAAATTGTACAGAACCTCTAAAGTTTTAATACAATATAGATGCAATGAGGATTGAAATGGAATTTCCAGATAATTACCTAAGCTGTAACCACTTTGCTTGAAAGAAAAAAAGTCAGTTGATAACTATAATCAAAATTGTCTCTTTACAGGGTTCTCATCTCAATCCTTGAATTTTAGTGTCGGCTCCATTTCCCCTCTCCCTATCGGTACAGGTACTGTTCTCCCAAAACAGAGCTGGAGAGCTCTGCTGAAACCAGTTTTTGTTGGAAGTGCAGGAGTGGCTGTTTCATGAAAAGTGTTTTTTAGCTTTACTTTTTGAAGAATATTGGAGCTATTCTGGATGCCATCATCAGTGTTTGCATGTAAGATTCGATGTGGTGCAACTTCTTGTACAACATCTTATTTTGTCAACTTATAAAGATATTTGCTTGTTACTTCACAAAATGGCTTTTAGGTCATATTTTGAGAGGTCCCAATCCACTGTGACAGAGAAATGGAGTGGGGCAGAAGCGTGACTGTGTCCTATGGACACCTTTTTAGTTTTGGCTGTATTGTTTTGTATGTTTAAGGTTTTTGTGGTTTTATTTTTCAGGTACCCCAGACAGTGTGAAGAGTAACAAGAAGAGGAAAGGTGGATCTAGTAGCAGAGAGTAAGTTTTCATATATTTATCTTGGTTTTTTCTACATCTGTACATGTATATATTTTATGTAAATATCCATCGGTATTAACCTGTAACTTTCATTGTATAAAAAGAGTGTGGAAGTCTTTATATTTAATTCAAGCAGATTTATAATTTTTCCTGAACATTTTCAAATACCACCAGTTGGTCAATCACCATTATTACAGTCAATCTTTTAAATTGTTTAGCCAATTCAAGTCAACTTGAAATTGAAAAGATGAGCATAATGTCACTTACACTATAATTTTCCTATGTTTTTATGATATGAGTGCCAGCATTAGAAAATTATCTGAAAAAATTCAGAAGAATTTAACATTGTAAACGTTGTCATTGATGTTTAAAAATAAAAAAGCGAATTACCCTTAAATTGTTAAAGATGAATATGAAAAGGTAACAATACGCACATTTCAAAAGTTTTTTTTATTTATTTCAAGAGCTTTAAAATTGAATTTCATTAAGAATTGAATATGTCAATTTAAAAAAGTAAGTGATATAAAGGGTTGTTTTGTCACAACAATGGTCATATTATAACATTGTCTTTATATTTATTAGTTCTGATGATGAAGATAGTCAGCCAGGGATGTATGCGAGCAGCGATCAGGCAGACAAGGAAAAATTTGCGCGCGAGAGTCACTGTGAAATCGAGAGACGGAGAAGAAATAAGATGACATCATATATCAATGAACTGTGTGACATGGTACCAACCTGTTCAACACTGGCCAGAAAGCCTGATAAACTTACTATACTTCGTATGGCAGTATCACATATGAAATCACTCCGAGGTATGAAACTCAATTCTTTGTGAAAAAAAATTTTAAGCTGTATATTGTGGATATTTTAAAGGGACTCCACTAAGGTACTTTTTGACATGACTGGATTGGAATGTTTTTTTTTCGAGATAAATTTTCCATTTGATAAAGGTATAAGCCAATAAGGTGTGTGCAGAATTTCAGATCAATCATTCTCACTGTTTTTTCGGAATAATTATTTTTAAAAGTTCTCAAAGTGGGCTATGAATAGCTGAAAACTATGATTTTCAATTTATTTTTTAGTGTATTTCTGAATTATCTTTTGCATATTTTCAGTTTCAAGTATCAAGGGTAATCTATGTAAGAAATGCATATTTGATGTTTTTTAGGCTTTTGGACTTCGGTTGAGTTCCTTTAAATATTTTAAGAGGAAAATTAAGATTTTTGGGTGTAAAAATGACAATTACGGTTTTTCCTTCTTTTTCCACTTTACCAATTTTCATCACTTTTGGACATAATTTGTATGCATTCTACAAAGCTGGATTTGAAGTTGATCATTAATTTTGTGGGATGGGTTCTTTTAATTGAAATTTTTACTTACAGCGCAACCTGTGCAAAATCACCGCTTTCTGAAGAGCAATTACCTCTTTGCTACAACAGTATCATTTCTTCCAAAAGTAACAATTCACAGTATATTTTATTTTTCTAAAGCAACAGCCTCTCTGCAACAACCAAAAATCTTTGTCTCCCAAAGGGTTTTGCTCTACAGCAGTTTTACTGTATCATTTTTGATTTGTAGGTACAGGTAACACAAGTACAGATGGGTCGTATAAACCATCATTTCTCACAGACCAGGAACTGAAACACCTTATCCTTGAGGTAAGTTCTCACAGATATGTCTTAAGATCCAATGACCAATTCAGTCAGATATGTCTAAGCTCCAATTCAGTAGATATTTCCTTATCTGCTCATCACCTTTTAGTAATTATAATTGTTTAATTTCTTTAACTCTTTAATTCATTCATCATCATTAGACTATCCTTAAAAAAATGTTTGTTTGCAGTAACCCAACTCAGAATTTTTAATAGTTTTAAAGATTTAAGAATCAAAAGTTGGTCTCTTTGAATGCCATGACTGAACTCATGTTTATTAATTTAAACCAATATCTTGCTTAATGGACCTGCCCCTGCATTGAATTTGAATGTTTTCATTGTTTATTTAAGTGGTTTTATTGTAAGAAAACAAAAATTGAATGTAAATTTTTTTTTTCTTTATTTTTGAAATGTACAAAAAATTTATACAAAATACTGTGATACTGTTATGTATTTATTTTGTATTGCAGGCAGCGGATGGTTTTCTATTTGTTGTTCAGTGTGACTCTGGCCGAATTATATATGTCTCGGATTCCATTGTTCCGGTTTTACACCAGTCACAGGTAAGTAAATTGAACGTACCTAGAATTATTGTTTGATATATTATAATCAAATTCTTGCTTATCAAGCTACATAGGCAGTGCATTGTGTGTAATGTGTTAGACTAGTAATCTAATGATCGCTAGCAGTGTAGGTTCAAAACCCGATCAGGGGCATGCAATTGTTTCTTTGGGGAAAAAAAAACTTTACACATATTGCACAGTATAGGCCAGTTCCAGGAACTGATTCCGGAGTGTGTCTATAAGTATAGAGCTCCCTACACAGTTGAACTAAAATAAATTGTGTATAACAGAGGCTAGTGTAATCATTTATGGAAACTATTACAAACATATCTTCAAGAGAGCAAATATATTAAGATTTTATGTGCTTAATTTTAGCATTAAATCTGACAGTAATAAAAAGGTATATACTTATTCAAGAACAAAATTCACTTAAGAGAAGGATTTACATTTGGAATTTCAAATTTTTGGTTAAGAAAATATGCGCTGATTTTTGATATGTTCTTAATATATACAAACCAGTGCCTTTATTTTATGAAAATAATGTTTTCAAGTGTATGCTGAACTGCTAAACAATCACTTTTGGCGGCTGTTATTTTATAAATATGATCTAATATTGTTGCTTATGTATAAATCGTGACATATATGACATTCGCTTACAATTTATATGAACATGAAACTTGGTTATGAAAAAATCTTTTTCCGTATTAAATTCATAGCCAGAGGCTTGATTTATATATCACATTTTCCTTTACAAGGTTTTCCTGAACTAGTTTCATTGATGCTTATTTGAAAAAGACAATCGTGGTCAGAGTGTTTAATTATATTGCTTTTGTTCATCTTTAATAAAGTCACAATTTTAATACATTTATCTTGTTCAATGGCGATTGAGATTCAATTCTTAAAAGAATGTAGATCAGTAAATCATATCTTGCAATTTGTCGCCTTAAGCAAAAAAAAATTTTACAAAAGATTTTGTATTCAATCAAGTCTTTATATTTTTTTATTGCTATATTATTTCCTTTTCACATAATTATAAAGATACCTCTAGTGTATTTATATTGGCTTTAGAAATTTGAGAAGATTTTTCTTGTTTAAAGAATGGTTGTTGCTATGACAGCATTGATATTGAATTTTTAAAATTTACTATTTTCAACATTTTGGGATGATTTAAAAATCTATTCTGTTTTTTTTGGTCTGTTATTGAAGAGTGTTTTCATTTAAACATTGGGTGTTGTATTTCATCTTGAAAGCTTCCCAAAAAATTTTTTTGAAAAAGGATTTTTTTCCCTTTAAATTTTAAACCAAAAAAAAACTTTTATTTGTCTTATTTTAGTAAAACTAGGAGAATGGTTTGATAATTGAATGGTTTATTTTGCAATACAGGGTGACTGATTTGGTTATTCTATGACTGATTCCATATCACAGGGTGACTGGTTTGGTAATTTTATGTCTGATTCAATAATACATAGTGACTGGTTTTATAAAGTTTGATTCTGTAATACAGGGTGACTTACTGACTGATTTGGGAATTTTATGTCTGATTCAATAGTACATAGTGACAGGTTTAAGTCTGATTCTGTTACACAGGGCAACAACTGGTTTGATTATTGTACGTTTAGGATGACTGATTTTGTTTCATATTTATGGGTGACTAGTTTGGTTACTCTATCTATGTCTGATTCCATATTACAGGGTGACTAGTTTGGGATTTGTATGTCTGATTCTGGTTGGGAAGTTGTAAGTCTGATTCTGGTTAGGCAGTTGTATGTCTGATTCTGGTTGAGTATTTGTATGTCTGATTTTGGTCGGGTATTGTATGTCTGATTCTGGTTGGGTAATTGTATGTCTGATTCTGGTTGGTTATTGTATGTCTGATTCTGGTCGGGTACTGTATGTCTGATTCTGGTCAGGTATTGTATGTCTGATTATGGGTGGGTACTGTATGTCTGATTCTGGTCAGGTATTATATGTCTGATTATGGGTGGGTACTGTATGTCTGATTCTGGTCAGGTACTGTATGTCTGATTCTGGTCAGGTATTGTATGTCTGATTATGGGTGGGTACTGTATGTCTGATTCTGGTCAGGTACTGTATGTCTGATTCTGGTCAGGTATTGTATGTCTGATTATGGGTGGGTACTGTATGTCTGATTCTGGTCAGGTACTGTATGTCTGATTCTGGTCAGGTATTGTATGTCTGATTATGGTGGGTACTGTATGTCTGATTCTGGTCAGGTATTATATGTCTGATTATGGGTGGGTACTGTATGTCTGATTCTGGTCAGGTACTGTATGTCTGATTCTGGTTAGGTATTGTATGTCTGATTATGGGTGGGTACTGTATGTCTGATTCTGGTCAGGTACTGTATGTCTGATTCTGGTCAGGTATTGTATGTCTGATTATGGGTGGGTACTGTATGTCTGATTCTGGTCAGGTACTGTATGTCTGATTCTGGTCAGGTATTGTATATCTGATTATGGTTGAGTAATTGTTTGTCTGATTCTGGCTTGGTAATTGTATGTCTGAATCTATATTACAGGGTGACTGGTTCGGAAATTGTATGTCTGATTTGATACATCCTGATGATGTGGAGAAAGTTAGAGAACAGTTGTCCACCACAGAATCTCAAAACACAGGACGTATCCTAGATCTCAAAAGTAAGTACAAAATGTATTTGATACACTATCTTAAAATTTGATGTTAGTTGGAATTTTGCATCTTTTGATAAGGTTAAACTCAATATTGTAACAGTATCTTGGTCTTATGCTGGCAGACTTTTGCCTAAAAGAATAATTACTAATGTCAGGATACAGATATTTTTCTGTTATTGTAAACTTTGACTCAAATAACTTCTGATGCATTTGGAAGACGATGATTATTAGACTTGATGTGACTTAATTGTTGTGTGCAAAATATGATCTGCTTACACTGTTGCTACTGGAACAAAATTTTGACCTCTAAAAAGAGCTTTTATAAGACATGTTAGACAAATGTTACAAAAGTCCCGAAAATATTTATATAGTCCCTTCATGTCAAAAAACCTTGGGCGAGTCCCTTTAACAGAAATGGGTTGTGTTTTTCATAAAATTCAATCCTGGATGCTGGAATCATTATTAGAAGTCTGATGAAAGTTAATGTCACTAAAACTTCCCATGAATTATGATCCATACTTCATTAAGTGTTACAAATTTGAACATTTTATAAAATGATGCAATGTTGACTGAAGTTGAACGGTGTATGCAACTTTGTATTATCTACTTGTTATAATTGCCCCACTTATATTTCGTAATACGTAAAAAGGAAATTGCATGTATCATTCCACTTGTTAAGTGGTTTATTTGCTAAAAATAGCGATTTTATCTTAAATGTCAGTTACTGTAAAATCAGTATTAATATTTTAATTGTCGGGGGACAAATTCAGTTAAATAATATTTTATTCTGATCCTGATGAAGGTCTTGAAAGACCGAAACCAGTAGATCCTAGAATAAACCAGTTACAAACCATCCTGATGTTTGATGTGTATTCTCTCCTTCCCTTGATTTACTTGTTAATATTTTATTGTGTATAAATATACATTAATTCTTTTACATCAACATTATTACACATTATACAAAAGGGGTTGGGCCAGAAGTTTTTGCAACATTATCTTGGGCACTCCCCTGATATCGGGGGCATACCTTATGGTATCTGTGAAACATGTATTTCTTTTTGGGGTGATTGTATGAGTGTTGATAATGGGATAAGAACTTGCAGTTCAAGAGTTTTGCTTCTTTTAAGAAAATATTTTGAAAGTATACTGTTAAACAAGTATACAAAAAGAGCAATTGAATAGGTTTTAAGTTAAAAATTATAAGATTGAAAAATTTTATAGGTTCATAGGTCATTTCCCATATAGATAAAGAAGAAAACCGCTCCTTTCATATACATGTAGAAATGTTTAACTTACAGTCCTTTTGTATATTGATTTTGATATAATATCTGTCTCTAAAATTTGATCTGTTTAAGAGATTTCTTCAGGAATGACATGAATAAAAAAAAATTGAAATATTAAACCATATCCCATCACATCAGCACTTATGAGTATAAAAAAATATCAAGGTTTGCCCATCTGATAACAAATTTCTTAGCAAGTGACCTACATTTATTACTAATCCCTCATGATTTCTGAATCAGTGGATAGAGACCAATGACCATTAGTTTCAATGTCTTGAGATCAATGGTAACAGAGAAATTGTGCCTCGCCAGAGGATTGAACCAGGGACCCCTTTATTACCAATTCCAGTGCCCCACTAATGAGCTAAGCAAGGGGGACTTTTTAACTATGCACATTAATTCCTAATAATAAGATTGATTTATAAATTTTGCTTTTCTATAATCTAACCCTGTTTATTTGCTTATGGATTATGTTATAACTTTTCTTGTTATTCTTGTATTTTTCAGCTGGTACAGTAAAGAAAGAAGGTCATCAATGTAAGTAGCAGGCTTGTTTGTCTTCTTAAAAATGTTCGTGACCAAGTTGCAAGCTCCAGGAAGATACATGTTTACAAGTTAATTAAAAGCTCTGCTAATAGAATCACCAGTATTTTTAGCTTGACTGTTAGAAGAATAGGGAGAGCTATTGTACTCACCCCAGCATTAGTGTTGGCAACTTTGTCAGTGTTGGCATCACACTTTGGGTAGAGTTTTTGCATGCAAGTTGATATCTCCAAAACTACTGAAGGGAATTGGTTGAAGCTCCACACGTTTTTCTCTGTGATTATCTTACATGATTGGCACAGATCCCATAACTCTAAGTGACCTTCTTATAGAGTACCTTACATGATTGGCACAATTATAACCTTTTTAGCACACCTGTCACAAAGTGACAGGGTGAGCTTTTGTGATCGCTTTTCGTCCGGCGTCTGTCCGTCCGTCGTCCGTCCGTAAACTTTTACTTTAAATGACATCTCCTCATAAACCACTAAGCCAGTTTCATCTAAACTTCACAGGAATGTTCCTTTGGTGGTCACCTTTAAAAATTGTTCAAAGAATTTAATTCCATGCAGAACTCTGGTTGCCATGGCAACCGAAAGAAAAAACTTAAAATATCTTCTTTTAAAAAACCATAAGAGCTAGTGCTTAGATATTTGGCATGAAACACCTTCTAGTGAGTGTCTATTAAGTTTGTTCAAATAAAAGCCCTTGGGTCAAAATTGGCCCCGCCCTGGGGGGGTCATTGATTTTCCCTATATGCATATATTAAAAACTTAAAAATCTTCTTTTAAAGAACCCAAAGAGCTAGAGCTAAGATATTTCGCATGAAACATGTTCTAATGGGTGTCTACCAAGTTTGTTCAAATAAAAGCCCTGGGGTCGAAATTGGCCCCGCCCCGGGGGTCATTGATTTTCCCTATATGCATAAAGTAAAAACTTAAAAAATCTTCTTTTAAAGAACCCAAAGAGTTAGAGCTAAGATATTTAGCATGAAACATGTTCTAATAAGTGTCTACCAAGTTTGTTCAAATAAAAGCCCTGGGGTCAAAATTGGCCCCGCCCCAGGGGGTCATTGATTTTCCCTATATGCATATAGTAAAAACTTAAAAAATCTTCTTTTAAAGAACTCAAAGAGCTATGGCTAAGATATTTAGCATCAAACATGTTCTAATAGGTGTCTACCAAGTTTGTTCAAATAAAAGCCCTGGGGTCAAAATTGGCACCGCCCCGGGGGTCATTGATTTTCCTTATATGTGTATAGCAAAAACTTAAAAAATCTTCTTTGAAAAAACCCAAATAGCTAGAGTTAAGATATTAAGCATGAAACATCTTTTAGTGAGTGTCTACAAAGTTTGTTCAAATAAAAGACCTGGGGTCAAAATTGGCCCCGCCCCGGGGGTCATTGATTTTCTTTATATGTGTATAGCAAAAACTTAAAATCTTCTTTGAAAAAACCCAAATAGCTAGAGTTTAGATATTAAGCATGAAACATCTTCTAGTAAGTGTCTACAAAGTTTGTTCAAATAAAAGCCCTGGGGTCAAAACTGGCCCGGCCCCAGGGGTGTCATTGTTTTTACCTATATGTGTATAGTAAAAACTTTAAAAAAATCTTCTTTTAAAAAGCCCAATGAGCTAGAGCTTAGATGTTTAGCATGAAACATCTTCTTATGGGTGTCTACCAAGTTTGTGCAAATAAAAGCCCTTGGGTTAAAATTGTGGGGTGGGGGGTTGGGGTAGGCCTATATACAGGTGAGCGACCTCAGGGCCATCGTGGCCCTCTTGTTTATAAAGTTTTGCCCCTTTTTCTACTATCAAACACTGAGAATAGTCAAGTTAGCTGTCTTTCGGACAGCTCTTGTCCGTGTAGGACTGATTTATGTATGAGGGAAGTAAATGATAGAACCACTATCAGATTATTACAGAAATACAGATAAAACCTGAACAAGCAACCAAAATTACCACAAATCATTAATATACTTTTTACTAAATTCTGTTATTGTTTTGGACTTTACTCAAGTAACATTGTCAATTTAAATTTTACATTAATAAAGCACTTCTTGAGTAATGCAGAAAATTTCTGATTTTTACATGTTTGTTCGCCATATGGTCTTGAGTATATTCATGGTCTTGAGTGTATTTGTTTGTATTAAGTGAGTATTGATCATTACTCTCTCTGGGAAATGGGAATGTTCAAATATTTTCAACAATACAGTGAATACGTTAAGTGCTAATGAAGTGACACTGCGGCAGCATTGTTATTTTGATACTTTATAAGAATGAAAGAAAATCTTTTTAAAAATATTTATAAAGTCATCAGTTTATGCTGTTTCATAGAAATTAAAAAAAAAAGATTCAACAAATTTGTGCATTTAATGGGAAAAAGAAATAAAATGCTTGTTTTATGATTGTTTCTAAGGCGTACAAAATACTTTTCTTTTGAAAATATAAATTGTCAAGCTGCAGTTAAGTCCCCTGATTAGACCAGTAGTGTAGCATGACATGATTACTGGGTTGGGTGAAATTGTAGAATGAAAAAAAAATTATTACTTCATTTGTACATATTTTTCCCGTTATTGAAAAATGATTGTTCGAACGCAGACTGAAAAAATGATAATTAATAATCTTTAAAAAAAAATTGATGAATATATACTTGTCAAAGTAGTTGTGAACATTTACTGTACATGTATTTTTATGCTGCATTTATCAAAGGGCAGAAAATTAGATTTTCATAAAACACGGCATAAAGCAATAACTGTAACTCTTGTAATTTAAGGTTGATTGTCTCCCTTTAAAACATGTTATTTATGGTTTTTGTAGCATCTATGAGGTTGTGTATGGGTTCAAGGCGTGGATTTATCTGTCGTATGAAGATGGGTAATCTGCAGGTTGACCCAATGACTGCCAACCATTCTCTGCGTGTACGGCAGCGGAACACACTCGGTCCTTCAACTGATGGTAACCATTACGCTGTGGTCCATGTTACAGGATATATAAAAAATTGGCCACCCTCAGGTGAATATTATATTAAATATTTGATCATATATACTTATAAATGAAAAATTGAGAAATAAAACGTGTATTTTTATTTTCCCTATTTTCATTGTAAAAAATTATTTTTCACTGCAGTGAAACGTATTTTCTGTATTTTCCCTGATGTCTTGCCGGACTATTTTTTTCTACATTCAGCCAATACACATAATTTAAGGGAAATTCTTTTAAATTTCAATCTCAAAAAAGACAAAAATGTATATAATATACAGAAATTCAAGTTTTTGCTAAAAATACAGTACTTATTATACCCCCACAAACGAAGTTTAGGGGGGGTATATAGGAGTCAGCTTGTCGGTCGGTTGGTCGGTCGGTCCGTCGGTCGGTCCACATCATGGTTTCCGGACGATAACTAGAGTTTGGAATGAGGTATTGTAATCAAACTTGGTATATAGCAACCTTATGTGGAAACTCCGGTTGGTATTGCATTTGGAACCCCTGGGGTCAAGGTCAAGGTCACCGTTACTAAAAATAGAAAAATGGTTTCCGGACAATAACTAGAGTTAGGAATGAGATATTGTTATCAAACTTGGTGTATAGCTAGCTTATATGAAGACCTGGGTTGGTTTTGCATTTGGGCCCCCTGGGGTCAAGGTCAAGGTCACCATTACTAAAAATATAAAAATGGTTTCCGGACAATAACTTGACTTAGGAATGAGGTACTGTAATCAAACTTGGTGTATAGCAAGCTTATATGAAGACCTGGGTTGGTATTGCATTTGGACCCTCTAGGGTCAAGGTCAAGGTCACTGTTACTAAAAATAGAAAAATGGTTTCCAGACAATAACTAGAGTTAGAAATGAGATATTGTTATCAAACTTGGCGTATATCAAGCTTACATGAAAACCTGGGTTGGTATTGCATTTGGGCCCCTGGGGTCAAGGTCAAGGTCACTGTAAGGAAAAATAGAAAAATGGTTTTCGGACAATAACTAGAGTTAGGAATGAGATATTGTAATCTAATTTGGTGTAAAGGAAGCTTATATGATGACCTGGGTTGGTATTGCATTTGGACCCCCTAGGGTCAAGGTCACCGTTAACAGAGTTACTAAAAATAGAAAAATGGTTTCCGGACAATAACTAGAGTTAGGAATGAAATATTGTTATCAAACTTGGTGTATAGCAAGCTTATTTTGAGACCCCAGTTGCGATTACAATTAATTGAAATATTTTTATATTTGGCGTATGAAATTTATCATATTTCACTTGTGACTACTGCCACTCATGAAAATCTTGAATTTATAGAATAATCTTTAATATCCTCTATGTACTGATTATTTTTATCTTGTTTATCTTTAAAGTGAAATTTTGACCATCTGAGTGTAAAAAGGTCAAAAAACAGGTAGAAATAATAAGAACTTACCAAATTAGTTAGGCACGTCCAATTTGTTTCTTTTTCAAAAAATTTTCAATTAAAAGATGATTTAATTTAATTACCATAGTTACATTTGTACCTGTCACACTGTGGATTTAATAGGTATGTGAGATAATAAGAAAACACCACTATTTATTTGTTTATAAATTGACTTAAACCTAATGCAAGTGTAGTAAAATAGGTATTTTTTTATCGTTTAAGCTCTCAGAAGAAATAGTGAGTTGTTTTGAAAATTCTAGTTTCGGTACACTGTATTTGTTTCACTTTCATTTATTGGCGTATGCTATTTACATATAGTAGACATGTAGGAATAATGTAAAATGTATAATTGAATATATTAAAATTTTCAAAATGCATCATTTTAGAATGTGAAAACAAAAACAAAGTGAGCGAAAAATTATTGGGTGGGTTGGGGGCAGGGTCACTGGCTCACAGGCTAGTTTTTGAGTTATCTGCCCTTGAATTTTAAATTTTGCTTCTACTATACAGTTTTCATTAAGCTTGTAGCAGCATCACATAAAGCTTATACCAGCATCTATATATGTAACTGTAGCATACGCCTTAAAAAGTTGTATAAAGTATATATTAAAAGGTAACATATGAATAAATCTTGAAAGTTAAATTTATAGAGGGAAATTTTACCTTTTAATTTATGTCCATGGTATATAAATGTTTTTTGGTTCCTGGCTACAGGTGTACAGATGGATAGAGGGGATGAAGAGCATGGATCCAGTCACTGTTGTCTTGTTGCCATTGGACGATTGCAGGTGACCAGTGCTCCGAACTGCTCTGATATACTCGGAAATGCCACAAATGAATTTATTTCTAGAATTACTGTTGATGGAAAGATAACTTTTGTTGACCAAAGGTTAGTTAAGAATTAATAATTATATAGTAATGAGAAAATATATTATCTTTTATTTTTAGGAATGACGAAAATGTATGCTGATGTAACACTGTCAAAATTATTTCAATTTCAAAGAAAACGTTTGTTCAACATTCTTCTTTTCTTTCTGTATCAAATGCAGTTTTAACTTTCTGTATCAAATGCACTAGAAATGAGAAATAAATTTTAAAAAATGGGGAGCAACTCTTACGGATCTATTAGTAAAATAACTAAAATTGAATACAACTTTTTCTATAATTCACAGGGTGTCTGGGTTGCTTGGATACCAACCTCAAGATCTGTTAAACAAGACAGTGTATGATTTTTACCACCCTGAGGACCAAGCTCATATGAAAGATACATTTGATCAAGGTAAGTAACTATATTTAGTATTGTGTGTAAGTTTTTCTTTGAACCCTAGTGATGGTATTTATGGGCCTTAGCCTTGAATATATAGCCAGACCAACTTTCATCTTGACTATACAACCTTTTATTAGCTTGAAAATTCAAAGAATTAGGAGAGCTATTGTACCCATGTCAGTGTTGCTAACACACTAAAGCTAAGTTTTTTTGCGGGCAAGTTGGTACTTCCAAAACTACCGAAGGGAATTGGTTGTTACTTCTAACACTATTTAGAGAGCATAATAGGAGGTCACTGAATCAGGCTGATAACTCTAACGTGGATTTTGACAGAATTATGAATTATATTAAAACCAGTATTTATGCCTTGATTAGAATTGGAACAATTTATGCCCTTTTTTTACAATGATTAGATTGAAATTCTATGAAATTAATGAAAGTAAAGAGAAAATGAGAAATATAAAATGAATTTATGTATTAAATTTTTATACATTACCAGTGCTGAAACTTAAAGGGCAAGCAATGTCAATGATGTATCGTTTCCGGGCGTCTAACAGGGAGTGGGTGTGGCTACGTACTACAAGTTTTAGTTTCCAGAACCCATATACTGAGGAAGTAGAATACATAGTGTGTACCAACACGGCAGCCAAGTAAGTCAAATATTGGTGTTAATTTTTTTCAAACTCATGCATTTAAAGGGTATAAAGTAGGCTGGGGCCTCATTTCGAATCCAAGCATTGAGGGGCGTCTGTGGCCTAGTGGTTAAGGTCACTGAGTTCAAACCACTTGCCCCTCACTGCTGTTTTAATTCTGACAGGGACTTTGGATTCTGTCATGTACAGGAACCTATCAAGCTAGGTGATGGAAAGTCAGTGGTTCTACTCAGGTGCCCATTTGTGCCAGAAATAATGCATGGAAAAATGCCATATGACCTATTCTGTGTTGGTGCGACATAAAAGCCAACAAACAAAAAAATAAAAAAACTGGAATGATTAAGAAAATGAGTGATGTCACAATAGTATGTTTGTGCAGAAAAAACAGTCTGAAATAAGCCCCTTCAGGTGTAAACAATTTGAAAATTCCCCCTTCCACACATATAGGTACTGTACTGTTACCCCAAAAGCGAGATAGAGCCCTGAAAGCTGTATAATGAAACAGTTGAATAAAACTTATTAACAATAAAATTATGTTGTTTCCATTATCCCTTGTTTAATTCTTGAAAGAGTTGATTGTAAAATAGAATGTCCCTTTAACAAACATGAATATTGTGTGTTGATGGAATAATTTTTTGGTGTGCTGATATCTTAAGCAGGGTGTTAACTGTTTTGCAATGATTTTATGCATGTGTCATTTGCTCATACGCTAATACAAACATTTTGGATGTAACTCAAACAATAGTGTTTGCATTAAATATATAGCTTTATACACTTAAAAAAAAAGTAAAACAAAATTAATTGAAATTAAAATGGTGAAATAATATTTCTCCACTAGTGAAATAAAAAATAGTTTCTTAAATTATCTTGATACAAAAGAGTTGAGGTTTATACTTAAATTAAATAGTCTTTATTATTTGTGTTTTATTTCTTAACAGAACTGGCAATCAAGCTGCCCCTGCATCAGCCTCGGGGGCTGGCGGTCTACCCTTGGATCAAAGTACCGAGTCCAATCCCCAGCTGAATAATTTTACAGCACCAAGGCCAATGGTTGCTGGCAACGATGCCTTGAATGTTGGTGCAACAAGTAAACCAGATTTCAGGTTAGTTTTAATGCTGAAATTACCTTGACTCTTAATATTTGGTAAAGATATTGGTCACATATAGTGAGTGACAATAAAATGCATTGTACTTCAAGTAAACAAGATTTCTGCATTAAGTAACTACATGAACATATCACATGAAAATTAAGATTTTTCAGGTACATTTGTAATGAATAACTTTAAAAATCAAGTATTAGGCCTAAAAAAAAAATTGATGTGTTTCTTGTGGCGAGGCCAAAAAAGTAGGGTTGGTTGGTCGGATTTTTTTTTTTTTTTTTTTCAGTCAATCAACGATTGTAGATATGTCAGATACGGATTATATGGACTTTAAATTATATTCTATAGCATATAAAAGTACTTAAAAATGTTAGACTACCAAACCTAGACTTCAATCTTATGTTTTGAAATAAATTTTACCAATGGCATGACTCGACTTTCGTTTTCATTTTTTTTATTCTTACCGAACAACTGGCTTTAATTTTAATATTATCACTCTTAACATGACCATGCACGTCCGAAAAATGTTTTGAGCTGTTTTGCTGTGGTCAATTAATTTGATTTCCTGTTTTGCCAAACTATGATTGTAGTTTCAAAAAAAATCGCCAGCAGTGACACTTCGGCTGCTTGTTGTGCCGCCATATTTGCCGGTGCGCGTTAATACGTAATTGGAACAAGAATCGTATGTGCCTGACATCGTTGTCGACTCGCAATACTAAAACCCGTCTTCGGTACGGTTGGTACGGGCGCCATTTTTTTTTTTGTACATCGATAAAAAACTTTGGGTCAGCGCTAAAAAATAGGGTCGGTCCGGCCACCGGAAACACAACATTTTTTTTTTTAGGCCTTATAAAGATTTATAGACCAGTGTTATACTTGACATTGTTAATTATAAGAATGTGTGAGAATGATTTTTAAACTGCAAAAAAAAAAAATACGTAAAGTTTTGTATATACCTGTGTTAAATCAAGCGATGTTATAACCTAATGATTTTTTCAGAGAAAAATAAACTTTAAAAGTTTTTTCCTGTTTAAAGCAGGTAATTCTATTTTTCTTTAACAAATATACTTGTATTAAGAAAACAAGATTTAGAAAAAATCATTGACAAGTGATCTGCTCCCAGTGTATAAGAGATGGTTTGCTGAAGTGTGAGCAGTAATAGTAAAAAATATTTAATCATTCCTTAATTGTTATATCCTTGATATATTGTCTGCAGGGAACAGTTCTCATCCGATCCTTACAGACAAATGGGCCGGCAGCAACAGAACATGTATGCTGGTTTTAGTTCCCAGTCCCCCATGAAGTACCCCAATCAACCTTCATCCACCAACTTACCACAACAGGGCCTCAATCAAAGGCAGAGTCCTGCTAGCTCAGCAAATTGGGGCTCCCCTACTGGACATTTTGCACAGAGCCAGGTATAGATTTAACTTTTTAAACCTTTACAAACCTGTTACAAGTTTCCTAAATAATTTTGCCTGCAAATGAGCATGCTTAAAGCATCAGTACAATGTTAATATATGAGCCGGGTCACGACAAAACCAACATAGTGCGTTTGCGCAGTCTGATCAGGATCCATGCTGTTCGCTTACAAACCCTATAACAAGACTTAGTAGAGAAATTGATAGCGAACAGCATGGATCCTGATCAGACTGCGTGGATGCGCAGGCTGGTCTGGATCCATGCTGGTCGCAAACCCATTATGTTGGTTTTGTCATGACGCGGCTCAATTAATGTAATCAATATTTATCAATAAAACATAACTAGATATAGAAACATCAATAAGCTGCCATCATAACTAGAGCTTCAGTCATGAAAAAATTTGTATAAAAATCTCTGAATGAACATTTACATTGAAATTTATTGGGTATCATTTATTAACATCCAATCTGTGCCATGTGGCCATGCAATATGTTTTCTTAATGGATGCTGTAGCATCCTGTGTAATTATTCTATATCGTATAGTTGAGTGTGTGTGACCATATACGCATGTAAATGATAAAAGCTGTTTATGGCAATAACAATTTATTTTCGTTCGATTGTGTTGGAAGCTTATGCCATTCCTGGAACCAACCAGTACTAAGCAATGAGTGTAAAGTTTCTTGCTCACAGAAACAACGCCTTGCCCTTGACAGGGTTTGAACCCACACGATCAGCAATCTTTAGATTAGTAGTCTGATGCATTAACCACTCAGCAACACTGCAAGTCAACCTTTAATTATCACTTGAAAAGAAAAACAGCATCAGTTTGAGCTGTGTTTGCCTTGTATGAATAAAAAGTAGACTTGTTCAATGTTTTACTATGATTTTGTTTACAAAAGTTACTGTTTTATTCCAGTCTGGTAATGATTTTGGTGCACAGTCTGCTGCAGCTGCCGCAGGGCCAGGATTTAGTCAAATTAGCCCTAACAGCTCCTCTCCAGGTACATTATTATTAAAACAATTCTTTATCATTAATTATTCCTTTAATCTAGCAAATATTAGAAAATATATGCAATTTAATAGGTCATCAGTGCTTAAAATAGATTTTTACACTTTTACTGATACAGTCTTTGTTTATTGACTGGTAATTTTCATATTTGGAAGGAAGATACCTTGTGTGGTCCTATAACATTTGATTGACTAGATGATAGATTTTTACATGTCGACTGATACAGTCTTTATTTATTTATTGGTATCTTTTATATTTGGTAGATAACCTAGCTAGGTTGGTTTATAACTTTTGATGGAGTGAGTGGTCACTTTGATCAAGTGAACCAGACTGATATTTACACTTCTGCATATGAAGCCTTTATTTTTTTTGACTGGTGTCAATATTCTCATGTACATATATTTACAAATGTTTGGTGTTTTACATCCTCAGTTAGTTAAAAAGCTATGGTATTATGATTTAAAGTTTTAGTAGCATCCCCAGTATTTTAACTGACCTTAATTTACCATTTTACAGCACAAGGGAACATGTGGCAACAGGGTTGGCAAGGAGGAGCCAATGATGGTTCCCAGCCACAAGCTGGTACCCAGCAGCATCAGCAAGGGAACCAGCAAGATGAGAATTTCAGCGACATGTTCCGCATACTTGATCAACAAGGTCAAGAGTTTAGTGACCTTTCTGGCATGTTTAATACTTTCACAGATTGATTATAGCATACCTGATTTAGTGCCGTCTGCTACTGGAGGAACTTTTGACCACCAGGTGTGGCTTGCTGGGCAAGATTCAAATTTCAGACAGATTGTTTAAGATTATGAAACCAATGTTAAAAGGATAAGAACGAGGGTCATCAAATCTGGATTTTTCTTTTATTCAAATTTGAGTCAAAACAAAGTAGTTTTCTGTCAGAGAATCGTCTAATAATATGTTTATACTGAGAGAAAATGACTGTAAATTAAGATACTGACTGTCAGTTAAAGATACTGTAAATCTGGTATTATTCGTGATGTTTGAATTTTTCAGAATTATCAATGGCTATTACTGTAAACATGTTAATATAATGTGCTATATGTATTTTTGTTTACTTTTGTCGAGATAGACATTATTCCCTCCTTTTGATTGATTATTAGAATTGTCATCATCTTGTAAATTTTTATAGCATGATTTATTTAAGAGAAATTAAAGGCACATTATGCCTCAGAAATGAATATTTTTATTCTTCTTTAAAAGGGGCTAGCATGTATTAAATAATGTTTTGATAATAGATTTAAAGCATATTAGATGGTTATCACTAGAAAAAAAGTAGTGCTGAATGAGAAATAATTTGTTGTAAAGGAAGCAAAATGTAAACAAAGAAGTTTTTTTGACTTCCATACAAAATACTTAATTACTTTAACTGTACCAATTACCAAAAATCGGAGGAAGAAAACGATGGTTCAGCCCTATTACCAATGAGTACTTTTCAGGACAATAAAAAAATAAAGTGTTTAAGCAATGTAAATGATAGCATTATTGGGGCTGAATGGGCCTTTAATATTACTTGTATTATTGATGAGGTGATGAAAGATTTGCTAGGTAAAAAGGCTTTGTATATAACTGCCAAAGACAAAATTGGGTGTGGTTTAAAAATGATTTATGAAAATGGCAGATTGACTTGACCATCACTTGTAGTTTAGTTTTGAAAAAAAATCATTATTTATATAATAGTTTCACTTATTCTAATTATGCTTTTATTCTGAGCATGGCCTTCCTTCTTGTCAATTTTTGTCAATCTAACCACAGGTGCCTGACGTCTAATGTATGTATGTAGTTTATGTTTATTGAGGGTCCATTCGCCCGTTCAGGCACAAAAATCTGACGTGTAATATCCGTTTCATACTTTCTTACATCTATAATAAACTTGTGTGTATTATATATAGGGGTAAGGTAGGGGGTGTCTGTTAGACGTCAGGCACCTGTGACTGTGACTTAATGTTTCTTTGTTTGTGTTGACTAACATAGATAAGTTTACATAGATACCAGATATATTTGTATTGTCTATATATTTTTGGATGCTGTTACTCGTCCAACGGGTCCAAGATTATTTAGACTCAATATTGTTTACCTTCTTCTCTTTAAGGCCATTATTTTATTTATCCAGCTTTTTGAATGTGACACTGGGAACATAAATGGGTGCATCCTATATTTTTTGTCCTTAAACAAATGATGAATCAATAAATTTTTTTGGTACTTGGCAAACACAAAATTTTCGGAAAATTTTAACTACCAAAGTAATATGGTTAAAATTATTAGTCATAGCATGTGACATCATGGGAGATTTTATTTTTCATTATTTTTGTTTTCTTTATTTTTTTCATTCTATGTTATTGTCATTTTTTTTATAAAATACCATATGTTAAAGATATTTGTCATATATTGTAATGTTGAAACATGTGTCATATATTATATTATTTAATTATGTGTCATGCATTGTACTTTTATAATCAGTGGTTTTTTATTATCATATTTTTTTTTAAAATGAAGCTTATTTGATATAATATATACTGTATTATATTGCCAAAAGAGCTAGTATATATTACAAGGAGTGTGTATATATCTATATGAATCTATTTCTGAATACTGTCAGCCCCTCTCACAAGTGTTATGCGTTATAGGCATATATTTACAGATATAGATATATTTTTGGGGAATATTCAGTTAACCCAGTCTCATTAAAATCATATCCTAACTGTTGCTCCACTACCCTTTGATAGCTAGCGAAGAGTAACCAAGCAAAAACGATGATCTGATTTTAATGAGATTGAGGTTAACCCAATGATATTCTAGAATTTTAACTTTGACTACTCATTCATTTAATTTTTCATGTAACTTGATAGTACTTATAAACGCAAAAGCAATTTTCATGTAAATCAACAATTCATTTGTTTTTATTTATTTTATTATATGATTTTAATAGTTCTGTTTAACAAAACGTGTTTCCTGGTAAATCTTATTAATGAAACTACAATTCATTTGAGCCGCGTCACGACAAAACCAACAAAATGGTTTTGCGTCCAGCATGGATCCAGACCAGCCTGCGCATCTGCGCAGTCTGATCAGGATCCATGCTGTTCGCTTACAAAACCTATAGCAAGTAGAGAAACTGATAGCGAACAGCATGGATCCTGATCAGACTGCACGGATGCGCAGGCTGGTCTGGATCCATGCTGGTCGCAAACGCACTATGTCGGTTTTGTCATGACGCGGCTCAATTATTTTAATTACCACACAACTTTATGTTTCAATCAAACAAAATCAGATTTTTGGTAAATCTACCTTCTACAGTTCTTTTATTTTTTTGGGTATTTGTCTATATCTACTGTATAACACCCTTTTTGAGTATTTTGTTTAATCAGCATAATCCCTTTTTCTCCAATTTAATTTTTTAACCAAAGATCTAATTATTAAGAATATAATGTTGAGTTGTCTTTTGGGGCGTAAAATCAGACAATGTTTATAATATATACATATATTGTTAAATGTTAGTAGAAAGTAGTAAAGGGATGATGAAATATGGGGTTGCATTTCCATAAAGTGCAATAACGTATGTCAGTTTGTAGCTATGTGTTTCGACTAATACTAATCTACTCATTGTTCTGTACACTTAAAAGTTAATTGATGTACAGGTTCATATATAATAGTTAATGGTCATCATTGAAAAATGGGTCTTAACAAAAGCGTAGTTCAGTAATGCCTAGTGCCTCTTTCAATTCAACTCGGACTTATGATAACATTGTAAATCCCAGAATTCAAGAATGTCAAAAAATCCAGCATGTTCAAGAAGGGTATGTGAAATTAATCTAATTTTATCTGAATGTAAGATTGGCTACATGTATAATTACTTGGTTCCAATAACAAATTCAGTGTGAGATTCTACAATATAATAATTGAAGACTTAAAGACTTATAAAATGTAGCATGTGAGGTTATGAAGATAATGTTCGAAAACATTTCAGCTTTACCTGGAACATTATATTTATGTTCCTGGTTATTTATAATGTTCTTCACAGTTTTACACATTGTTTACTATACTGTAGAAGTTCCAATTGCTGTTTTAATTTCAGCTGAATGTTTATATCACTTGAAGACAGTGAGTCTTTGAAATTATTTGAGGTATATAGAGTGATAGACATCAAATAAACACTAAGACAACAACAACCAAATAAATCAGACAACTAATGAAGCCAAAGACAACAAATAAACAAAAAGATAACTTATAAGGCCAAAGAAAACAAATAAACCCAAATGGAAGTGTTTGGTGAGAGCTTATGGTTGCTTTTTGGGTTCTTTTTGGTGAATTGTCATGCTATATTTTTAAAAGTTATATTTTAGCCCTTTTTCATACACCTTTGTCATAATATTTCAAAAAAATTACGAAATAAGGTACTTTTACATATTTTGTTTTAAGTTATTTTTCATTTGATCAAAAGTAATTTTCACTTGATCAACAGAAATGTTCATTAGCTAAATGAGTTCCCATTAAATCATCTATTGTTATGATGTATAAATATTGTTCATGGATGTTTTATCATTTTAACATATTACAGAGGTATCGCTATCATTTTTTTTTGTTTTGAGAAAGAGAAAAATTAATAAAAAAGTCTATTGTAAATAGCTTCAGAAAATAAAAAATATATCTGCAAATATTGGAGGTGTGTTGTTATTTCTTGAATAAATCTTGCTAAAGACAGGTCTTTCAGTTGGTCATTGCACACATGACAAGTGGTAATGTAACGATTCACCACAATAATGATTCACCACATAACAATTCGCCACAGAGTAACTACTATACGCCACAGAGGTGTTAAAATAGAAAATTTTAAACAAGTTATAATAGTGTATTTTATGTTGAGAAAGAAATGTGCTCCAGCAGGTTCCGTCGTCTGTGACATGGCTCTTACTATCCCTGACCTTTTTTGGACCTATCTAAGTTATCTCTCACTAGGTCTCGATCATTCCACACTAGACATCGGTCTTCCCTCACTGAGTCTAGATATTCTGTCACTAGGTCCCTGTCATTCTTCACTAGTGATTCCTCTTTTACTAGCCTCTGCTCGTGTCTCACCAGCCTCGGTAGTCCCTCACTAGACCTTGGTTAGCTAAGTCTAAGTTGGCTAAGTCTACCGTCATCCGTCTTTGGGTGTAGGTCTTCTCTCACTTGGCCCAATTCTTCACTAGTGATTCCTCCTTTACTAGCCTCTGCTCATGTCTCACCAGCCTCGGTAGTCCCTCACTAGACCTTGGTTAGCTAAGTCTAAGTTGGCTAAGTCTACCGTCATCCGTCGCTAGGTGAAGGTCTTCTCTCACCTGGCCTCCTTCATTCTTTACTAGTGATTCATCTCCTACTTCTCACCAGAGCTTCGGTAATACCACACTAGGCATGTGTTAGCACTTGCAAGGCCTTGGTTATCTCACTGTCATCATCCCCCTAGGCTTTGTAATCCTCACCAGGCCTCACTCTTGTCTTACTAACCCCTATTCTTGTGTTCCCGAGTCACTTGGCACTTCTCGCTTCGTAGCCAGGTCCTAATTTGTAGAATATATTCGATTATCTTAAGATGGCTTGCTGTAGTCCCACGAGGGCTGCTTGTATCAGAAATGATGTTTCAAGGTAAAATTTTGTTTTCCATATCACCATGGCCGTAGAGCGTGTGGTAAAAGCATTCCTTCTCTTGGGTGGGAAATCATTGGCCGCTTTTCATGGAATGACATAAACGTATCATTGAAGGTTCTATGATCACCACCGTATGAACACTTACCATCATTATGCATTATGTGTAAAGATGTTGATTTCGGCTAAAGCCGGGGCTATGGAGGCGTTGACCGTAGCTTGCTCTTAACCACTACCGTCCAAGAACAGGCTCAATCAATCAAACCGAGCCTGGCTTTTTTCAGTTGTTTTGGGCTTTGTGTTCTTTTTCTCAATTTAATATATTTAAATGGTGCATGTTTGCTTTGTTAAACATATATAGTTGTGCTCGCGTACGAAAAAAAAATGCATCAACATTTTGAAAACTGTCACTAGTAATGGTGGGACTAAAAACCATCAGACACGGAAAAATATCGTATGACTTTCCTTATGTAGAATTTAAAATTCCGGTATGTAAGTACTCGGTGACACTAATTATACAGTATCCATCCCATTTGTGAGTTTTTACAACTCGTTTCCTGTCAACAAAAATGTGATAATTAACAGGAGAGTCAGTACACTGTTTCCAGTATACAATATGTATGTAAATAATCAACTGTGAAGGTATTTCGATAAACAGATGTACTAATATTTCCTTTTCTGTTGATATTATATAGTTCCAAGGTCCTTAACCCGAGTGTCATTCCAGTATCGCATAAAACAAAGATTACCAGAACAAACTCGGTTCTATGATTACGTGGACTGCTAAAAAAGATGACATTAAGACTTATTTGAAACATTTAAATTTATTGAAATGTTCAACTGTGTTCTCAGGAATATTTTCTGGTAGCCATGACTTACATGTCAAGCGTTATACATGTATGCCGTTAAGAAAACTATGATCTAAGCATTTGTTGTCGTTGTTGTTGTTCATAAGCTATAAATTAAAACAACAACAACTTAAATTTATTATTCAAAATCTAGTCGATGTTTGTCTTAACGTACATGATTTTCAAAGTGCTTATTAATCTAATGATGACCAGCATTCGTCATACATTTGTAACACAACAGTGTCTTGCTATAGGAACAGAACAGAACATAATATACATTTTATTTGAGACTTGTACATGTACATGTATAATACATCCTCCTGCCAATTTCCTTAAAATAACTGGTATATATGGGAACGCAATACTATTCATTCGTAAACAATAGTTATAGTTACCTTGGATGTTGGAACATTTTTCGTGTTGGGATCTGCCAGGGAAACGATTATAGGTCGCATATTTTTAATAAAAAGTAATGTTCCCACAAACCAGGTGGTACAGGGTTTATAAAAAAATACATTGAAAAACATGATTGCACAATAATACAAACTAAATTAAACTGAACAAGACTTGTATTGAACATTTGTACAAAAGTACACCATCATACAATAAACACATATATGCATTTATATTTATGAATTATATGATTTAATCATGTGCATAGGTCGAGAATACTATTTAACAACCCAATTATAGAAATGCTATAATATTAAAAATCTGAAGAGCATTTGTAAATACTGATATCAAATACTTTGATATCAATATAGGACAACGTCTGTCTCAAAGTCGCAGATGGTCTGGATAAGAAAGTTTCAGTAGACCGACCACAACACTTATGACTGCCAGTATTCGTGCAATTTTGAATCTGAAAATAACCAAAAAATATGTCCTACAAAAATAACAATAATAATAATCATGATGATGATGATGATGATGATGGTGATAATGATGATAATAATAATGATGATGATGATGATGATGATGATGGTGATGATGATGAGAGAAGAAAGAAAAGACGATTTTGATTCTATTGTGAAAAGAATAGCTTGACCACGGTGACTGTAAACACTGTGATATAAATATAAAGTAAAGAAAAATTAGAATTACAAGAAGCCAGCTTCATCTGTGTCATCAACATCAATGTTGTCATTATTGGCAGTGTTATCAGTACCTGATGTTTGATCATTGTTATCTGGAACTGTCCTGCTCAATACTTTACTCTCTAAAATAAAAAAAATATAGACTTTTTATTTTGCTCTCAGTCCTAATTTAGGTAAAATCTTTGTCCCGTTACATTGTTTAACAGACTTCCGAGTCACAGTGTTACAATTACAATTCATTGCTAGTTCTTGAATTGAGAAACGAAACCTGTATACAGTCTATTCAGATAATAATGACGAGCCAGATTGCAAGTGCCGGTGGAAATGTAGCTCCATTACTAGCGTTTAGTGAATTAAATCTTAATTAGTTTCATTCTGTAAATAAGTTTATTCCATTTTCTGGAATATTCTGTATTGGGGTCATCTGATTATTAGAGAGCCAGGCTTTACTAAAATCCATTTACCGACAGTTACGTATTTCAACATACCGTCATTTTATCAAAGGTTTAGGAGTCATGGTGATGGATTTCTATGATGTAATTGATATTATAAAGTAATTATACATTTTTGAGTACAATATAGGATTCACGCACTTGGACGATTACACAGCTTCTATAATGGACAAAGCTCTAGCCGAATCCAATATGATAATATGATAATTATACATTTTATCTCATTAAAATCAATTTATATATAGCAAAACAATGTTTAGTAACATCTAAATACGTTTTTTTTTTTACTTTTTTGTATATAATAGGGGGCTGATGCATTTTTTTTTTCGTGCATTAAAATGTGCAGAGGCACGAGTCCGCCGGCATTAGCACGTGGAAAGCATGATAAGATCGTTTCTTTGCACGAAGAAATGGAAAACGAAATACAAAATTACCGCATTAAATCTATAATAGCGCTAATTATGCACCAGTCTTTCTTCGTGCAGATACACGAGGACGCACGCACATTAATCCTCTTTTGCTAATATCCACATCTAAATACATTAAATTTGATATTTATTGAATAACTCTTAAACAAAAACATGCATATATATGTTAAGGTATGAAAAATAGTCACATTATTTACTATACCTCTATATCCAACAACGAAGATAAATATACATAAAACACATATTGAAATGATAAAATTCATCCTTTATATTTATAATATTCCTTCATTTTTTGTACGAAATCTTTAATTAATAAAGATTAAACATAGGCGGATTTAACAGTTAATTAATACGTGAAGTATAAATGGAAACATAATATACATACTTTATCAAAAATATACATGTACCAGTGTTCGCGTTTACTGAGTAAACATATCAATTTACTCGCTGAAAATTGCCAGGGAGGAAAGAAAAAAAGGGCTGTTGAGTCCCTGGGACGAAACACTTTTTCCCCGATAATTGGTCAATTCTCTCTTAAGTTTTTTTGCTCAGCTTGAAAATGATTTTCTATTCACTTTAAATAAATTGTATTATAAGAACTTGACTTTCACCTCATTTTCATTTGTTCCTTTCTCATTAGCAATGCAGATTTATATCCCAAACGTAGACTAGGAGCAAGTGCTCGGCCTCGTTTTGGGCCAACCTATCAATGGTATCCGCGAACATCAACAGTCTCAAATTTGATTGTATTATGAAGTTATGCAAACATTGACATTTTTGTAATTGAGGACTCGTTCCATTTGAATTGGGACGTAACAGATCTATTAGCACTGAGTCCCAGGTACTCAGTAAAGTTAGAGAAAATCGCTAACACTGTGTACTTAAATAATGAACAATGCATGGATATTGATCAATAGCAAGTTAAATGATTTCTATTGTCATTATAAACAAATAATTGTAAATATTAATTACGTTTTAAATGATTACACCATTGGTTTTGATATGAGTTACACCATCTATAACAATGTACCGTGCTTTGAAAATATCTTATTCTTTTGTAAATTACCATTTAAATCAATATCTTAAAACATTTTGCGGCTAATACAATATAGGGTTTGTTATTTAAAATATAGATGAAATAAGCGACTCGTATTAAGGCAGAAAGATCTGTATCCTAAAAAAAGTATGATTTAAACCATTGATGATCATGTCTGTTTCTGTGTAGTTCTAAAGTTTTGATTGACACAAGGTAAGGAATGAACTGAGTGATTGCCTACATTGTATAATTATGTAGGATTCTGATAAGTCGAAGTTAGAGGTGAAGATTATGCTGAATTCATAAAATAAGAAAAAAACATTAATGACCAAATGTTTAAAAATGCGATGAAGATCATGCGTGGATCCAGTGGGTAAGGGGTCATCCTTATCGTCCTGGGATTTGGCCAGATCGAGGATCTCCTCAGCAAAACATGAAAGGAAATTTCAACATTTACTATGTCTATCCTGTTGGACATTAACATGTTTACGATAGAAAAATAAACATCAGCATTTTTTTGCGATCTTAAAACTACATTAAAAAATAAAAATGTTTTGGAGATGTTTTTGCCTTTCCTTTGTGTTCTCGTTTTATTTTTGACCCATTTTAAAACAAAAAAAGACTTCGAAAGAAATTCAAATTATTCGCAGTTAAAATTTTAGCTATTTGGTGGAAGGCTAAACAAATCTGTTTCGTTGATTTTTTCCACTAAAGCTGGATCTGGAAAAGATAAAGTCATTAATACATATTTAATACAGGACGGGAAATCTAACTTTGCAAAATCATTCGTTCCGAACGGTAAGATAGCTTTCTTTTTAGTGTTGAGTAATAAATATAGTATGTACATAAACCAACGATGAAAGGAATTTTATGTACTGAACGAGTACATAGTATTATATGTATGTGTATCATGGGGGAGGAATTCTTACACGGAGGATCGAGATCTTACGTTTACTTGTCAGGAATTCATGTGATACCTGTCAAGGAGTTCGTCGGAAAACTTTTTTTTTTACTATAAAAACACTCTTTTTATCCTTTAAAAGTGAGTTTAAGGTGCTAAATTAACTTTAATGATTAAGCTTGTCTCAGAAAATAAAGAATATATCTGCAAATATTGGAAGTGTGTTGTTTCTTGAGTAAGTCTTGCAACAGACATGGCTTTAAAATGGCAGTTGGCTATAGCATACAGGTCCAGTGGATTCTATATACAAGTTATAACAGTTTATTTTTTTTATTTTGAGAAAGAAAACGGACTCCAGTTACGAAGTTGCAGTTGTTTCTGACACAACTCTTACTATTACTGACCATTTTTGGGCTCATCTCGGGGATATCTCAATAAGCCTTCGACATTCTTCGCTGAGTCTAGGTCTACTTTCATTAGACCTCCGTCATTTTTACTATTGATTCATCCTTTACTAGCCTCTGTCATGTCTTATCAGCCTCGGTAGACATGGTTATCACTTGCTAATTCTAGCGTCATCCGTCTTTGGCTGTAGGTCTTCTGTCACTTGGCCTCTTTCATTCTTTACTAGTGATTCATATCTTACTCCTCACCCGAACTTCGGTAATCCCACACTAGGCCTGTGTTAGCACTTGCAAGGCCTTGGTTATCTTATTGTCATCATCCCCCCTATTTAGGCTTTGTTATTCCTCACCAGGCCTCCCTCTTGTCTTACTAACCCCTAATCCTGTGTTCCCGAGTCACTTGGCACTTATCGCTTCGTAGCCAGGTCCTAATTTGTAGAATATATTCGATTAACTTAAGATGGCTTGTTGTAGTCCCACGAGGGTTGGTTGTATCAGAAATGATGTTATGCATTATGTTTTCCATATTACCATGGCCGTAGAGCGTGTGCGTACAAGCATTCTTTATCTTGGATAGGAAATCATTGGCCGCTTTTCATGGAATGACATAAACGTATCACTGAAGGTTCTATGAGCATCGCCGTATGAACACTTACCATCATTATGCATTATGTTTACAGATGTCGAATTCGGCGGAAGCCGGGGCTATAGAGGCGTTGACGGTAGCTTGCTCTTAACCACTGCCGTCAAAGAACAGGCTCACTCAAACCGAGCCTGGCTTTTTTCAGTTGTTTTGGGCTTTGTGTTCTTTTTCTCAATTTAATATAATTAAATCTTGCTTGTTTGCTTTGTTTAGCATTTATAATTGTGCTCGCGTACCAAAAAAAATAATGCATCAACATTTTGAAAGCTGGAAATTTGTCACTAGTAATGGTGGAACGAAAAACCACCAGACACGGAAAAAATATCGTATGACTTTCCTTATGTAGAATTAAAAATTCCGGTATGTTAGTATTCAGTGACACTAGTTATACAGTATCCATCCCATTTGTGAGTTTTTACAACTCGATAACAAAATTGTGATAATTAACAGGTGAGTCCATGAAGCATTCTACTTGGGGAAACAAAATACGAAGAAATGATTCAACTTGCTAACCTTCCAAATAACACATACAAAATGTAAAACAAAATCCCTAAAGAATGCCCAAAATGACAAAATAAAAAATGTTGCAGGCTCAGTTTGATTGAGTCTGTTCACGGACGGTACTGGAAATTTGCAAGCTCCCATCCACGACCCAAGCACCGGTTTAAGCGGATTTCAATATCAAAACATGGAAATGGTGAAATTTCGAATAGCAAATATTTCACTTTTTTGTATAATTAAATCCCAGTTGTCATGTGACCTACATGTGAATTCTCATGATTGGCAGAATCTAAATGTCTATTTTTATTCCTTCTACCATCACTTCCTTCATGAACATCACGTTTTTCATTATGATCTTTATCATTCACTTTCTCAGCCTTTTTCTTGTTTTCAGACAACAGCACAACCCGCAAACCTTTCTTCCAATCATCTTTATCACACATTGTATCTACAGCTTTTTTTTGCATGCTCGTGTTTTCAAACTCAATTACAGCACAAGTAGTTGTACCAATTTCAGGATGTTTATTAGAATGCTATTTAATATCTTGAGGAACATACATTTTTGGTTTAAGAATGCGTATCATAGCTACTTCACCATATTTCGAAAACATTTCAGCAATATTCTTAATTGATGGGGTCTCCATATGCAAATTTATTGCGAGCACTGATCTTGATGGCGTTGTTTCACCATATTCTGGTACTGGGTTTTTCCTTCTAACTTTCTTGCCTTCCTCATTTATTTCAAGCTGATAATGATTTGACTGCCTCAGACTATTAGCTACTACACGATCTTTAGTCAAACTTTTCATTTTCTTGAATGATGTGATCAGTTTTATACTCACATAATCAAGTTTATTTCGTCTCACATGTTTAAGCAAGAAAGCATCTTTTAAGATATTCGCATCAGAGAAGTAAAACAACTCAACCTGTTTGATAATTTCATCTTAAAGTTCATCAGTTGAAGGAACAAAATCTTTCTCCTGATTGTCCTTCCTCTCTGGGTCATCTGACACGTTTAGACAGTGGTCCTCTTCAATTAATAACTACACGATTTTTCACGATTTATTAAAAAAAAAACAACAGGTTTTAATTGAGGAGTCAATTTGAATATTTAAATCCACTGCTGTCAGTGATTATATAACCGATTAGGTGCTTGTATATCACCCTTTGGCAACTTACATGTATACCATGGACATTTGGGAAAGTCACAAATTACATAAAATACTAGCAAAATTGTTTAAGATACAAACGGCTCATCAAATTATTTCATGATTTCAAAAAAGATACAAAATCTTTTTTATCCTACCATTAATATATATCTCATATGTCACTGTCAATCTCAGTTTGAGAATTTAGGGTTATTAAATAATAAGGGACCAACTATTAATTATCAAAACAGAATAAAACATTCTTTTATTTGTACATAGCACATCATTATTTTCCATACAATTTCCAAGCACATAATGATCACACTAAATTTGTCTCTTATATTATCGTAAACTTTTTACACTTTATCCATAAAAAGTAGATCAACAAATTTGTAAAATAAGTTAAAACATTTACTTCTGTCCATTTAGTACTACAATGAAATTACCTGGTTATTATAATTACATCAATAAGATATTTTTATTTCTAACATTTCAACGTAAAAGTAATAATAAGATTGTTTTGATAGAAATAATTAATTTTACGAAGTACAAAAAGTAAAAATAAAACATTACTAATTGAATTAATAAAATGCTATTTAAATCTTTCTTAAAAAGCCTACACAATTATCTTATTAATTATCTTATTATCAACAGAAATTATGAAACCGTAACAAAATCTGAAATATTAAATCTTTTTTTCTTGGTGAATCTATTTTTTGACAGTCATAAAGATATTTGTTGAAATTAAAGGTAACTGCTATACAAACTGAAACATTGTCCAGTGCATAAATAGTCTAGTGCACAAGGAGTGACCTTCAAAGTGCACTTGATGCTCACATTGAAGTGCACTAGAAGTGCACATGTAGTGCACATGTTGTGCACACCACGGACACTTCTTGTAACCTTAAGTGTGAACTCAACTGTAAGTCAAAGATTACCAGAACGATCAAACTCGGTCCTATGACTACAGGGACTGCTCAAAATGATGACATTAAGATTTATTTGAAACATTTGAATTTATTGAAATATTCTGCTGTGTTCTCATGAATATTTGCTGGTAGCTATGACTAAAAGGTCAAACCATGCGACGTGATATGTCGTTAAGAAAACTATGTATAAACACATGTTGTCATTTGTTGTTGTTGTTGTTGCTTTTTATGAGCTATAAATTAAAACAACATAATTATTCAAAATGTAGTCAATGTTTGTCTTAACGTATGAGTTTAAAAGTGCTTATTATGGCCATTTAATCAAGATTTCTGAATTGTTTGTACGTTTATCGAAAATGGCATAATCTTCTCTGTAAAATGTACCATAATAAGATATATACTCGTTTTGCATAAAATCAGCGGCCATATTCTGCACCATCTTGGATTCTGAAGCGTTGTGAAAGCAAAATTGTGTAAGATTTAGACTTTTGTATAGGAGAGACTATATACTTGCTCTGGTGTAAGTTTCAGATTTAGACAACAATTTTGAGCCCTCGGCTCTTAGGCGATTACACGTCATACATGTACAAGCATTCATCATACATTGTAACACAACAATGTCTTGCTATAGAAACAGAACAGAACAGACATTTTATTTTAGAATTGTACGTAATAAATCGTCGTGCAAATATGTATATGTTTATAGTAATGTTTAACATAACACATATAGTCCTGTTTACACATAAAAATACATTTCATACATTTAAAAAGCATGATAATAATACAAATTGAGTTGAACTGAACAGGAATTGTATTGAAATTTTGTACAAAAGTACAGCATCATACAATAAACCCATACATGCATTCATATTATATAATTTAATCATAGGTTGAGAAAACAGTTCAACAAACAAATGATAAAAATGTTATAATATTCAAAATCTGAAGATCATAAGTGTTTGTAATCAAATATCAATAGGACTTCGTCTGTCTCAAAACTTTAGATGGTCTGGATAAGCAAGTTCGAGAAGAAAGACCTCAAAACCTGTTTCTGTCAGTATTACTGCCATTTTGAATCTGAAAACAACCAAAAATATGTCCTACAAGAATAATAATAATCATGATGACGATGATAATGATGAAGAGGATGATGATGATGACGAAAGAAGAAACAAAAGACGATTTTGATTCTGTTGTGAAAAGAATAGCTTGACGATGGTGACTGTATACATTGTGATATAAATAAAGCAAAGAAAAATTAGAATTACAAGACGCCAGCTTCATCTGTGTCATCAACATCAATGTTGTCATTATTGACAGTGTTATCAGTGACTGATGCTTGAACATTGTTACCTGGAACTGTCCAGCGCAATACTTTACTCTCTGAAAGAAATTAATATATGAGCGGCGTCACGACAAAACCAACATAGTGCGTTTGCGACCAGCATGGATCCAGACAAGCCTGCGCATCCTCGCAATCTGATCAGGATCCATGCTGTTCGCTATCAGTTTCTCTACATGTTATAGAGTTTGTAAGCGAACAGCATGGATCCTGATCAGACTGCGCGGATGCGCAGGCTGGTCTGGATCCATGCTGGTCGCAAACGCATTATGTTGGTTTTGTCGTAACACGGCTCAATTATATACTTTTTATTTTGCTGTCAGGCCTAGTTTAGGTAAAACCTTTGTTCCGCTTAATTTGTTTAACAGACTTCCGAGTCACGATGTTACAATTACAGTTCATTGTTAGTTTAGACGATTTTTGTTCTTGAATTGAGAAACGAAACTTATGAACAGCGTACATTGTATGACGGGCCAGATTGCAAGTCTGTACACTACTGGAAATGTCTCTGTGCTGGTGGAAATGTAGTCGGCTTCATCACTAGCGTTTAGTGAATTAAATCTTAATTAGTTTCATTCTGTAAATAAGCTTATTCCATTTTCTGAAATATTCTGTATTGAGGTCATCTGATTATTAGGATTCTTTTTGGCGAGAGCCAGACTAAACTAAAATCCATTTACCGACAGTTACGTATTTCAACATACCGTCATTTTATCAAAGGTTTAGGAGTCATGATGATGGATTTCTATGATGTAATTGATATTATAAGGTAATTATACATTTTTGAGTACAATATAGGATTCACGCAATTGGACGATTACACAGCTTCTATTATGGACAAAGCTCTAGCCTAGTCCAATATGATAATATGATAATTCATGTAATTATACATTTTATCTCATTACAATCAATTTATATATAGCAAAACTATGTTAATTAACATCTAAATACGTTTATTTTACTTTTTTTATTTAATAGAGAGCTGATGCATCTTTTTTCGTGCATTTACATGTGCAGAAGCACGAGTCCGCCGGGATTAGCACGTGGAAAACATGATAATATTGTTTCTTTGCATGAAAAGAATGGAAAATGAAATGCGAAATTACCGAATTCAATCTATGAATAGCGCTTATTATGCACCAGTCTTTCTTCGTGCAGATACACGAGGACGCACGCGCGTTAATCTTCTTTTGTGAATAATTCTTAAAAAAAACATGCATAAAAATTATGTTAATGTATGAAAATAGTCACATTATTAACTATACCTCTATATCCAACAACGAAGATAAATATACATAAAACACATATTGAAATGATAAATTTCATCCTTTATATATAATTTCCCTTCTTTTTTGTATAAAATCTTAAATTGATAAAGGTTTAACAAAGGCGGATTTTTCTAACAGTTAGTTAGTACGTGAAGTATAAATGGAAACATAATATACATACTTTATCAAAATATACATGTACTTAAATAATGAACAATGCATGGATATTGATCAATAGCAAGTTAAATGATTTCTATTGTCATTTAAAACAAATAATTGTAAATATTTATTATGTTTTAAATCATTACACCATTAGTTTTGATATTAATTACACTATCTTTAACAATGTACTGTATTTTGAAAATAAAATATTCTTTTGTAAACTACCCTTTAAAGCAATATCTGGCTAATACAATACTGGGTTTGTTATCTAAAATATATATGTGAAATAAGTGACTCGTATTTAGGCAGAACTATTTGTAACTTTTTTTAAAACCATCGATGTCCATATCTTTTTTTCGTAGTTGGCTTTAGTATTTTTCCTTACAGTTCTAGATAAAATAATTTTTAAATTTTGATTAATGAACTGAATGTGAACATACATTGTGAATGTACATGTATATATATGTAGGGTTCCGAAAAGTCGAAGTTAGAGTTGAAGGTAATGTTAAATTCATAAAATAAGAAATACATGTATTATTAATAACCAAATGTATAAAATGCGATGGAGATCATGCGTGGCGTGGATCCAGCGGATAAGGGGTCATGATCCCAACCCTCCTGGGATTTGGCCAGTTTAGGATCTCCCTACTTGCCTATATCGCGCACTGTTGCATAAATCCAAAGAATTTTAATAATAAAATCATACTGTCAGAAGGTTTTATTTGATCCACAACGCTGCTTATATATATTTTTTGATAAATGATATGGAGAATATTCTGTTTGCAAAGAATACTTTGAGTAAGAACCATCACTACAGATTCTTAAGAGCAGGAACCATCACTACAGATTCTTAAGAGCAGGAACCATCACTACTGATTCTTTAGAGCAGGAACCATCACTACAGATTTTTAAGAGCAGGAACCATCACTACAGATTCTTAAGAGCAGGAACCATCACTACAGATTCTTAAGAGCAGGAACCATCACTACAAAGTCTTTAGAACAGGAACCGTCACTACAGAGTATTAAGAGCAGAAACCATCACTACAAATTCTTTAGAGCAGAAACAATCACTACAAATTCTTTAGAGCAGGAACAATTACTACAAATTCTTTAGAGCAGGAACCATCACAACAAATTCTTTACAGCAGGAACCATCATAACAGATTCTTTAGAGCAGAAACCGACACTACAAATTCTTTACAGAAGGAACAATCACTACAAATATTTTAGAGCAAGAACCGCTACTTATTCTTTAGAGCAGGAATCATCACTACAGATTCTTAAGAGCAGGAACCATCACTACTGATTCTTTAGAGCAGGAACCATCACTACAGATTTTTAAGAGCAGGAACCATCACTACAGATTCTTAAGAGCAGGAACCATCACTACAGATTCTTAAGAGCAGGAACCATCACTACAAAGTCTTTAGAACAGGAACCGTCACTACAGAGTATTAAGAGCAGAAACCATCACTACAAATTCTTTAGAGCAGAAACAATCACTACAAATTCTTTAGAGCAGGAACAATTACTACAAAATCTTTAGAGCAGGAACCATCACAACAAATTCTTTACAGCAGGAACCATCATTACAGATTCTTTAGAGCAGAAACCGACACTACAAATTCTTTACAGAAGGAACAATCACTACAAATATTTTAGAGCAAGAACCGCTACTTATTCTTTAGAGCAGGAACCATCACTACAAATTCTTTTGAGCAGGAACCATCACTACAGATTCTTAAGGGCAGCAACAATCAATACAAATTCTGTAGAGCAGGAACCACCACTACAAAATCATTAGAGCAGGAACCATCACTACAAATTCTTTAGAGCAGTAACCATCACTACAAATTCTTTAGAGCTGGAACCATCACTACAAATTCTTTAGAGCAGTAACCATCACTACAATTTCTATAGAGCAGTAACCATCACTACAAATTCTTTAGAGCAGGAATCATCACTACAAATTCTTTAGAGCAGGAACCATCACTACAAATTCATTAGAGCAGGAATCATCACTGCAATTTTTTTAGAGCAGGAACCATCACTACAATTTCTTTAGAGTAGGAACCATCACTTCAAATTCTTTAGAGCAGGAACTAATACTACAAATTCTTCACAGCAGGAACAATCACTACAAATATTTTAGAGCAAGAACCGCCACTACAAAGTCTTTAAAGCAGGAACAATCACTTCTTATTCTTTAGAGCAGGAACCATCACTACAAATTCTTTTGAGCCCATCACTACAAATTCATTAGAGCAGGAATCATCACTGCAATTTCTTTAGAGCAGGAACCATCACTACAATTTCTTTAGAGCAGGAACCATCACTTCAAATTCTTGAGAGCAGGAACTAATACTATGTACAAATTCTTTAGAGCAGGAAACATCACTACAATTTTTTTTCGAGTAGGAACCATCACTATCAATCTTCCTGTAAGACATTAACATGTTTACGACGGAAAAAATAAACATCAATTTATGATACCGGTGATTGTTGGTAAATGGACATTTTCGGTAAAATATGGTCAAAAACATACAAGGGGACAAATGTCCTCCACAGCCCAAAATGTTAACTTTCTGGGGATGTGAGGAAATGTCCGAGGGTAGTTAATATCCAAGAATCGTGATTAAGTTGCTAGTTTCATATTTAGTCATCATTTAAAATCTGTTTGTTATTAAAGTTGTAATTAAAACAGTTTGTTTGCTGGAGTTTTTGTTTTATTTTACAGTGTCGTTTATGAAATAATTCCATATTACAGTAATAAAAGTCTCTGCTGAACTGTGTGATGGTTTTTTCATCCTTTATATCATTTACATTGAGAAGTGTTGTGACGACTGGTATTTCTTTGGATTCGCTGACTGACGGACGAACGAACGAATGGGTTTATGTGCTTTTCTTTGATCTTTATGTTGCACTTTCCCCTATGAAGCAGTAAAAAATATCAAATAAACCAGTCGGTTTATGGGATTTCCTCCTTTTTATGAATAAGTTATGGATAGACCATTGGATGATTGCCCGGACGGACGGACAGATGGACGGACGGACGTACGGACAAATGGATGGACGGATTCTTACCTGCCATTTTTGATTGTATACATGTGTATTTTATTTTGATATGACAAATGACACAGTTCTTGTTTGTCACTAAAAGAAATTTAATGCATCTTTAAAAGTGTAAAGTAATGTTTATGGTTGAAAATCGTGTCTGTAAGTTCTGTAACACTTTTAAAAGGCACAGCTGTTTTGTTTCGATTTATTTGAACTGGTGCCAGTGGTCGAATGTTTTT